AGCTACGCTATAGACACTACTTACTAGCTTATTATAGTAACTTATCTTAATTACTTACTTATAATTACCCTCTATTAGCCTAACTACCTCTTAGTTATAGGTATTTCTATTAGGTATTACTAAAGGGTATATATATCTATTAGGGGATTTACTACTAGTAGTATAAGTAAATATAAAGACTTATAGCTAAATAAAAACTTAAAAGAAAAGAAAAGCTTATAGTAAGCTTATAAGTAATAAAAGCTATTATATTAGTAATATAAAATAGCTTAGCAAAAAAAGATATAAAAAAAGAAAAGTTTATAAGCTTCTTAGCTTATAATAAAAAAATATAAAAGGTAAATAGTTACTAATAAATAATAGATTAGTATATAGAGTAAGGCGTTTTTTATAGTTTAGAATTACTTCTTATAAAGTAATAAGGCTTATATATATAAATATAAATTACTAGGCCTTTACTAACTATAAGAGGTTAGCTATTATTATCTTAGTAATTAATCTAGAAAGATATATAGTATAACCTTATTATAAAGGTATTATAAAGGGACTTTTTAGTAAAAGCCTACTTTAGTTCTCTATAAATAATTAATAATAAAAATTACCTTTTCTTATATTACCTTACTAATCTATAGTATCTTATAGTAATAGTTACTTTAAAGTTAACTACTTATTAGTATTAGTTATTACTAAGGTAGTAATATAGTTAACTATACGTATTAATACGTAGTAATAAATAATAGAGGTAAATACCGCTTTCTAAATTACATATAAAGAGGAAACCTATTATAGGATTACATAGTAAATACACTACGTAATATACCTATAGATCTAGTAGATTTATAAAGAAATTACTATAAAATCCTTAGGGGATTTTATAGTAAATTAGCTATAGTTATTCTAGCTATTATTAGCGTTAATCTATACTACTAATATCTAGACAATAGTTAACATTATAATAAATATATTATTTATAAGTAATAAAGTAGCTTATTACTTATCTTACGACTATATTATTTAAATTTATAAAGGCCTAATTTAGTAAAAAGTAAGAAAATAAGTAATAGTTACTATATTTATAACTAAAGCTAAGTTACTTACTGTTAGTTACTACTAGGGTAGTAATATACTTAACTATACGTATTAACAGGCAGTAACAAATAATAAGGGGTAAAAACTAGTTTTAAATTATATATAAAAAGAAAAACTAGTATAGCATTATATAGTAAATTTACTATATAATATACCTATAGATCTAGTAGATATATAGTAAGATTACTATAAAATCCCCTATAGATATAGTAGCTTTTATAGTAAATTAGCTATAGTTATTATAGCTATTATTAGTACTAACTTATACTACTAATATCTAGGTAATATTAAATATTATTACACTTACCTTTTAATATATAATAAAGAAGCTAACTTTACTTTAATAATAATTATTAAATATTAGGCTATATAGTTAAAGATATTAAAAAAGTATATTATAATAATAAGTAAATAATATATCTTATTATAATAAAATAACCTTTTATATAACCTTAGTATACTAGTACTTAAAATATATAGTTATATAAAGTATATAATATAAATAATATTAATACTAAATATCTACTTATAAGTAAAATATTAGTAAATAGACTTATAAATATCTTTTATATATAAATTATAAGCTCTCTAAAGTAATACTAAACTTATAGAATATATAATAAGTAGTTAAGATTAAGAAAAAGAAAAAAGAAATAAGAGGTAAAAGTAAAGTATAATTAAAACTAGCCTATAAGCTAGAGAGCCTAAGAAGGAAATTTAAAAACAGCCCTAGGCTAAAGGGTCTAGGGCTATAAGAAAGTAATAGAACAGCCTTAGGCTAGAAAGCTTAATATATTCTTATTACTACTATAAAAAAGGTCTTTATATATAAGTTAAAAAGACTTTATAATATAGCCTTAGTACTTTAATTAAAAAGTAACTTACTAGTAAAGCTATTAATATTAGTATATATATAATATACCTTAAGACTAGTAATACTAACTAAAAGAGAGGTTATAATACTTTTATTTCTTACTTTATTAGGCTTATTTTGTATAGCTACTAGCTTTACCTCTAGCTTCTTCTTTTCTTTCTTTTTATATCTTTTTTATTAGAGTATATAACTAGTATAGTACCCTTTTTACTTTTAAAGGTAGTAAGGTAAGCTAACTATATTATATAGTATAAAGCTATAGCTTATTATACTAAAGTAGTTAGGAATTAGTATACTAACTAACTAGTAATATATACTATATCTTATATAAAGTACCTTTAGCTAATAAAGCCTATAAAAAGGTATTAACTAGGCTAATTACTATTATAAAAATTACTTTATAAGTATAATAAGTTAGTATATAGTAATAGTATTTACTATTAGTACTTAAGAGATATTACTTATTAGACTAATCTATAAGTATACTATAAAAGTAGTAAATATAAGGCTTAATAATAGTAGTTTAAGCTACTAACTTTATACTCAAGAACTTTATAGTATTAATAAAGATATTATTATTACTACTACTTTTTTTATTACTATCTTTAAGAAAAGAAATATCTTTAAGTAGCTTAATACTAAATAGAATTTATATTAAGTTAGAAAAATCATCTCTTATAACAATAAGGTAAGTAAGTAATAGATAATACTAGTATAATATAATAATATACTAAGTAATAATAATAAAAAGCTATTAATAAGGCTACCTCCCTTAATAATAGCTAAGTGTTTCTTAAGATGCTTTATATATATATAGATTATATAGATATTAGTAAGGTATACTGAATACTAATAGGTTACTATTATACCTTACTTAACTACTAATAAGATAAAATAAAGTCTATAACTTTAATCTTTTTTAAGGAAGCTATAAAATTATTAGTAATAAGTAATAAGTAATAGTAAAAAGACACTTATAAGCCTCTTCTTTAGAAGCTTACTAGCCTTTATTAGGCTAAAGAGGCTTCTTTTTATACTACTACTTTATATAGTAAGAGAGAGAGGTAGGCAAATTAGTTACCTAGAGAGGCTTATTACTATTTACTATAATATAATAATAAACCTTCTTAATAATTATTAATTTTTAAATTATTTAAATAAAAAGTATTATTTAGTAATAATTACTAATAGGTAGTAATAAAGGTAATAAAAATTATATTATATAAAGAGAAATTAACTAATTATAGTTTTGTATTTTTTATTATTAACATAATATATTAAAGTAGGGCTATATAACAGGTTAACAGACTTAAGAAATAATCTAATTATACTAGGCTAATTAAAAGATATAGATAATAATAAATAGTTATTATATAATAATAGCCTATTTATACTAGATTTTATTTTATTGTTTTAGTATCTAGGTAATAGCTACTTATATAATACTACCTAAGGGGGTGTATTATAAGGAATAAAGTAGCCTTACTTAGTATACTACTTTATAACACTGCTTTTAGTATAATATTACTTAATAATTTAGAAACAAAACAGTATCTAGCTATATATTATAGCGTACTACTATCTAGATATAACAAGCTACTTTTAACTATATTAATTATCTCTATTATAAGCCTTCTTTACTATATTATATTATATTTAACTATACTAAAATTCTTTAGAACTAGGGAAACCCCCCTATTCCTTAGTTAGGAAACTCTAGACTAATCCTAGCTATTTGATTAGTAAAATTACCTAGAAAGTAAGGTAATCATACTGCCTATTCCTTAACAATTTACTATAAGGCAACTGTATATTTACTAGTTAGTTTTAGTACACCTTTACTATATTTAATAAATATAATTAGGCTTTTAATAGGGTTATAATATAATAATCTAATATTCTTAGAGGCAATGCCAGGAGTGTCTGATCTATAAAACCTAATATAGTCTCAAAATGCTTCGTTGCTACTTACAAGGCTTTAAAAGAGAAAGGACGTTATAAAGGCAATACGCCTAGTAAATAACAGGGCTCCCTAAAGGTAGTTAGATTCACTGTCCTACGTAGTCTCTATTACAGAAAGGATACAACATAGAAAGACAACTAACTGTTATAAAGGCTTTTAACTACACAGACAGAGGCTAGTCAAATACAGCTTATTCAATAATTACAAGCAAGGAGGCCCATTAAGAGTGCAATCTAGATGCTATGCTAATAGAGATAAAAAGGTCTGTATAAGTTTATTAACCACACGTCCTAGGACTGTCTCTGCAAGCACTCCATGTTATCTCTAGCGAGCCTAAGCTCTCAGGAGACAAGTGGGAGAAGGCCTTCTTGCAGATGGGCACATGGCACGCAGCCCAGTAGAGGAATCTCTTCCAGAACGGCGCGCCCAAGAACTACCGTCTTAAGTTCCTTACTAACATCATTTTCTAGAGCCACAATTAGTATTTAGTGACCCCAGTCCGCAGCAATAAGACCGTTCTACTCACCAGAATTCCTGCCAGATCGACGCAGAGCGCGTTCAAGACCTTGGAGCTCCTCACCTCAGTCTAGCGGCTCCGTCAATAGGTCGAGAACGCCTACTGGCCGGCTTTTTAGACCGATTTCTTGGGCTTGTGAATTGAGCATTGGAATTGTTACATACGTTGTGGCCTATTGGGCAGATGATAACTTATGGCGATGGTGCTGGTTCCAAGTTTGTTAGTTAGAGACGCGCCTTGGTGTAGGCCAAGAGGGCTATTAAACCGCGGCACTTTGGAGGCTTTAACGACTTGAGGGTCATCTATTCTCTTTCTTACTAACTCTATGTTATCTCTATCCCCCGTGGTCCCAGTCCTACTTCAGAACGTGTATCCTCAGCATGATAGTGATAAAGCCTGGTGTGCGCTCTTGCGAACATCCAATATTGGCTTGCAAGTTTCCAGACTTACGGTTGACTAACGAGCTAATATACCGTTCTATCCCAGGTATATAGAGCAATTATAACCTATCCAAGGTTGTTAGCGACCAGGCAAAGAAAGGTCCTAGATACCCCAATCTAGAAGATCTTGCCACTACGTGACACAGGCAACCGCAGACCTACGGCGTAGTAAGAGCCGCCGCCATATGACCACAACGGCCCCCTTGACTCGAAGAGTACAATGCGGGCGATGAAGATCTGCGTCGAGCTGCAGTTAGGCTGGTTATAGATAGACTTCTCGTTGTCGTAATCCGCCACCCAATCCTACACATTCTCAAAATACCTGTTAGCGTGGGACGTCACGCAGAACATGAGTGAGGCGGCAATGCACTCAGCTTTGTTCCTGACCTCGTGGCACTTGCTCAGCTCGAGATCGGTGCCCGACGCGGAAGTGCGAATCCCACATGGCCGCAGCCCCCTGCGACGCAGCAGTGACGTTCCACTCCATCAGGATCACGCCAGCTGTAGCGCCGCGCACCAAGAAGAGCATCTCAATAGTCTCCATGGTGCCGATTTCGCCCTTGTTGCCTCCCTAGACCATGACTTTGGGGTTCTGCATGTCGCTGATGTAGAAGCGGAAGCCTAAGCTGGAAGGGATGAGCGCTTGACACCATGCGGTCTTCCAATGCTGGATCCTTTGGGCCATAAGAGCGTCGCATTCTCCTCCCTGTCTTGGTCCTCCGCGCGCGGTTTTCATCTCATGGTTAGATATCATGTGGCGTCGCATCTGATCGCTAGAATAACAGGCATACGGTCTATCGTCATTACATAAAAGACACTATGGTCCATCTTTTAGCGTGATCTGGTGCTCTATGGTCTGTGAGCCCGGGGGGACATCAACGGTCTTGACTTCCTCTGGTAACCGTATGGCAGGAGAATGGCCGAAGCGCCTCTCGTACTCCAAGATCTCTTTTCCGCACCAATGGTGGGTGTTGTTATGGTGCTGTTGGAGATGACGGCCGAAGGCGATGATCACACTCACTACACGCGTCGTTAGTCGCATGCTGTGAAGTGGGAAGATCTCACTTGTGGTGCCGACCGCTTCGGCGAGGTGCCAACGTACATGGATGACTGCATCGACGAGAAAATGTCCAACCTGGTCCCCTTCGTACCCACCGAGGCCGGGAAGCGATTGTACGACGAAAACCTCGGCGTCGATCTCCAGGTGGTCAGCGGCCATTTCAAGTGTAAGCTGAACTGCCGACTGGTCTGCTTTTGGCAACATTGATAGGAACAGATTCAACATCAGCAACCGCCATCACCGAACGAAAAAAGGAACAGCACGCCAGTTCTTTTCTCTTTGCTATTTGCGACTGCCCAGAAGGGTATCAATACTGAGGGCGATGGGCGCGCCTGGAGGGGCTCCTAGTCTGTGTGGCTGACAGAGAGCCACGCCAGTTGGCCCTGGCGGCGGAGGGCGCTGGTGGCTGTTGCGGAGAGATCGTCCGGCTCAATACACACGCAGAGGTTAACTTTGCGGCCGGAGGACTCGACATTAGGGGGCCATGATGGAGGCAGTCAGGCTGCGGTTGTCAGATCAAGGATGAATAGGGCGGTGTGACAAGACGAGCGTCATGAAGCGGCCAAGATAAAATAGGATGGAATGAAGCACGGCAAAACACTAGTCAACAGGCCCCCATCTAGTGCAGCCCCTGCCAGATGCCCCGGCGAGCGAGCGAAAGCACACGGGTGTGTACATGCGCGTTCCAGCTCTGTTCGTTAGGTCCGTTGTCGCGACAACACTTGTCAGGGCGCGCAATATCGAGAACTGTGGCCACCGGCGGTGTAGGTCCAAGTAAGTCAGGTTCGAGGTAAGTCATCTTCCTCATTTGCGGGCGTGGGCTCAAAGACGAAGTCTCAAACGCTCTGCTCTTGGAACTCGGGCATCCTATTGATTACGTCCTTAAAAGCGGCCTGCACAAATGTGGAAGTCAGCAGGTAGGTACCAAAAGAACAAAGGATGTGAGCAACCAACTCGCTCGCTGTGGCCCATGGCGCCAATGTCTCTGTCGTAGTCGCTGATGCTCCTTCACAAGTGGCGAAGGGCCCTTGGAACCTTTGCCGCATCGTACGAGATGGTGCGCACGGTGCCCAGGGCGGCGTTGAAGACCTTCTTGTGAGGCAATAACAAGCTGCTGCGTCAGGAGGACGAGGGCGCGCCAGAGAGGGGAGATGTAGGGGGGGCGTCTTGAGGCGCTTTCTCGGGGTGTGCTCCCCGTCCAGCTGTCCCGAATCGGAGAAGCTGAAGCAAGAGGGCGTGACCGAGGACGATGCTACTGAGGACGATGCGCGGGCAATTGAGTGTCTCTGTAGGGGAAAAAAAACTCATGCTGGAGTACGACGATAGCGGCGGGGTGATGGGATGCAGGCGCTTCTAGGGGTGGAGGTGGTAGTTGTAGTCGGTGTCTGAGTCGAAATGCTTCTGTGTTTGTGAGGGCAGTGGCGGCGTATTGCTCTCGAGCGTGTCAAGCCAAGCAAGAACAGTCTGCCAGGGTGTTTCTCTATTATTTGCTTTGCATTTGTGCTCTGTCTGACTTCCTCATTTTCCAACTGTCTGAACTTCCTGCCGAAGGGGGCTTCTCTGGTCTGATATCCGTACTGTAGTAGGTACTGCAAGGTCCGGTATGAAGTTGCACTTTCCAGCTGCTCGGTGGGCGGCTCCACTATCAGGCATTTAGCGTGTTCAAGAGTGGAGACGGTTCAGGAGACTGTCCAATCAAACACCCCACCCCACCATCGGGAGTCAGCCTGTGCTGTCTACGGAGTAGTACCTACCTTTTGTGCCTAGGTACCTCCTAGGTACTAACCAGACACGCACGCTAACCCCTGTCGGGGGTGCCCCGCACCTCCAGCCCACCCAGCTCCTGCAGATGTGAACGTGACGCGACTGAGATTACACGCTTGCGCGACGCGTAGCCGAGGAAATGTGGGCCGAACCTCGGTGATGGCGGGGTGTTTGGAAGGTCACATAACTGTCCAAAGTGCAACAAGGAAGGTGGTCGTGGGAACATGGCGTGCTGAGCCGTTGAAGGCTACCAGATCGCCCACGTTAAACACACGAACACAGCGACGCCTTGTAGCTAGGCATAGGCATATATGGGGAGGGCACAGACAAGGGCAGGGGCAGATTGGATGTGTCGGAACCAGAAATGAAGCCGTCTTAACATAGGCATCCACTTGGGTCAAGACTAGACCAGTGGGCAGTTATCGTGAAGAAATCTATAAGTGTTGTGTCTGAGCCGCTACAGCTGTTGTCGGACTTGTACAAGAGATGGGGACCATGATCAGGTCAATAATAGGGATGACGCTATTAAACTCGTTATTACTCTACGCGTTCTTAAGGGAGACAAGCATGACTGGTAGCCCTGGGAGACATTAGACAGGAGAGAGAGAGGAACATGAGAGGCAGGGACGTTTGTCCTGTACCAGCCTTATGTTTATGCAATATGTCTATCATTGAGATAAGCGAGGTTCAACCTTGTGTTTCTAGCTTTTTGATTGGCTCACAGAGGTTGGACCATGTTCTGACCCCATCCTCCCTTAAGCGAGGTTCAACCTCGCATTTCCAGCTTCGTGATTGGCTCACAGAGGTTGAACCACATTCTGACCCTATCCTCCCTGGAGTGGGTCTGTCTGTCTAGTGGAGGTTAGGTCACTAAAGTGGTCCAACCTCTTAACTCCGATCCTGCAGCCGCCTATTCTGTGCTTCAGCAGCTAGATTAAACCTCACCTACCTGATGGTTACTTCTTTGTTTGGTACCTGCCTGAACCAACTGCATCTCCTTCCTTCCTCAAAGCATCACCCAGCATGTCGTCCACTGCTGTCTTCTCTATCTCCCTGGCTGCCGCTCTCTGTCAACCAAACATGCATCGCTTGGCCTACACGTACCCGATCTTTTCGTCTTCACCTTGACATTCGTTCTCTTCCACGGCCGATTTAACTTCTTCGTTGTGGACACTTGTCGATACAGTTCACCAGCAGATAGCCTCGAGGCCGATGTGGTAGTCAGCTTCCCGGCCCCCTTCTTTCTTCTGGCGCAGCAGCAACAGCAGCAGCAATAGCAATCAAACCGATGGCCTCGACATGCCCGCCAGCACCCAACAACTTCGCCATTGGCGGCGCACATACATCCAATGCCCCTAGTCGCAACGACCGCAACGATCACACCGACGCCTAAACTGAGACACCATCCGACGCAGGCGTGTACCCTGACCCCCTTCTCGACCCGGATGCGCCAGAGATCGATGTCAAGGCCGAACTCTCGCGCGACCCCATACCCGAAGAAGCTCGCAGCGTCTGGAACTCGGTGGTTAGTAAATAAGATAAGGATTAGCTTTTTAGCCTTTATTTAATTAATAAAGTATATAACGTTTAAAAGTAGACTTCTGCCATCACTTCTTTTGGCGTTCGTGCCCTCCTCAGTCCTTCGGTCCGAGCCGCCCTCGCCTTTGAGCAGTCCCCCGCCTTCATCCGCCTCCGTCCGGAGCTGGACAGAGCATGCCAAACCTGGAACATCCCACCCTGTGTGCTGGTCTTTTGCCATCTCGACCAAGTGCCTTCAAAACAAGCTCGCCTCATCCGCAACGCCTCCAAAACCGGTACCCCATTCCCCACCTCTCCAACTTCTGCTTCTCTCCGTGAGATCTCGCAGGGCCGGGGAGGGCAAGATGCGTGGTGTCAATCGCGCAAGCGACAAGGTGCAACCCTATGATCTAAACCGAGCCCTCGAATGGATTAGTGCCATGGATCCCAAGGCCACTATTGGCAAGGTAAGAAGAGACCCCCTGTTCTGCCGGCCTGCTTGTCCGCGTGGGCCACACACGCAGACTGCTGTCGCCCTTCTGTGTCTGTTGTAGCCTGCTGACTTATTTTCTTTTGCTCCTTTTCTACAGGGCAAGGAGGCAGCTCCTCCCATCAAAAACAAACAGACGATTCCGGAGCCCGAGTCTCAAACCGAACCGTAACCGAGACCAAAACCTCCCACAAGTCTTCTTCATCAACAAGAAAATACACCTCCCTCGACTGACCTTGGGAGCCCCCTAAGGAAAACCAGTGCGGCTTGCCTAGACACAATCCTAGAAGTAAACGAGAGCACCATCAGCACCTCGCCGGGCTTTCCCAACCTTATGCTTCACGGGAACATCACCCAGAGAAGAGGGTCTCAAGCATTGTCGGCCCGGCAAAGCCAATATGATGTTAAAACACACGCGGGGAAAGGAGCTAGCGATTCCGGCTCCTGTGAAAGCCTAGGGAACGATTACAGCAGCGCCCAAGAATATCATGGTGCCGACGTCTTGGGTAGTGACGATGAAGCGGTCGAGGGGGGTTTCTTGTACAGCCACCGAGCACGTCGAGCGGATCTCAACAAAGCGGCGAATAATGACGAGGAGGATCCTGAACGAGGCAGAAAGGCCGAGTCAAGGCAACCAAGCCCGTTTTCCGAGTCGATACTTCCAGTCGAGGACAAGTCAAGGCAACCAAGCCCGTTTTCCGAGTCAATACCTCCAGTCGAGGACAAGTTTGGTGTCGAGAAGCTGCCAGACCTGGAACCCAGCCCGTTCGGCGTCAATTCACTGTCATCGTCCCTAAACGTTCGCGAGATGGACGACGATACGGACAATGATGGCAACGGTAATAATGACGAGGTTGTTGCGCGCCCCAGGAAGCGATCTCGGGACATGTCTGCGCAGTCTGCCGAGTACATGAGCCTTATCGGCAGTCGGTCTTGGCTCAGCAGCGAGGTGGTGAGCAGATGCGTCGGCGTGATTGTGACGTCTTGCAAGCCAATGTGAGTGGCAGTAGATCCGCTGGTCCACAAAGACATGGGCCAAATACCCCAGCCTCGCCTCACCAAAGAGCTTGTCATGTCAACGGACAAGGTCGTCCTCCCGTTGCACCTCTGCTCCACCTCAACGAGGCCGAAAAGCAAGTCCGCCGGCTGCTGCCGGGACCAGAATGGTTCCTGCGAGAGATGGCCTGCCCACAGCAGCCTAACGGATTCGATTGCGGCGTGTACGTTATTCGCAACCTCGTCTACCTTGCTGCAGACCAGCCTATCCCGGCTCCAGTAGACGTCCTCCTCTGAAGAGCGTTGGTTGCCGTCATGTGCAAGTGGCTCGGGGTGGTTCCGACTGGCCAAGAGGAGACGACAGGGGCAATAGGCCGGGGTCGCCTCGAAAGTTGTTTCCGGGAGTTCTACCTTGACTCAGAGGATCTAGTCTTGAAGGTGGTCCCCACAGCCCCCCTGCCTAAACAGCCGATCACGACCAAACGAGGGGCAGATGCGCACTATACAGCTATCACAGAGTGGCATCGGCGCGTGGAGCAAGTCTGTTTAGAGAACAGGAAGATGGTTGCAGTATGGAACAGCGCCGTGCGGAACATCAAGGAGGCGCAGAAGGCTTTTGCTATGCTGCACAGAGGCTGTAAGGCAAATGTTGACAGTGCAGCGAGCGAGCGAGATGGCCTAGAGCTCTGCGTGCAGCGGTACCAGTCGTCAGTCCATTGGGGGAACGAGAAGATCATGCAGCATATAGAGGAGGCCCAGAGACAGCTGGGTCTCGCACAGGAGAGGTTGAGGAAGCGGCAAGAAGGCTTCTCTTTATGGGGCGAGCTGGTCGGCCTTCTCGAAGGGGCCGAGCTGACACTGAAGTCGAGGATACAGAGCCTTGGGCCTAATGATAATGATGATGATGAAGATGATAGGGAAGACGTGAAGTGACTTGTGGGGATAAATATCTTCAACCGGGGCTTCACTATTCAAAAGGGAACTTGAACTTGCATAGCTAGAGATGGGAGGACACAGCAGTAGCAAAGAAAGAGACGATATAGATACTATGATCAACGAGCCAACCAATACCAGTCCACAGCCAAGGGAGGTCAATCAATAATGCTTATCCTCAGGACGGCATCTACTACTATAATCCTACTCTCTCTACAGCTTACAGTCTCAGAAGCGTCCGTCCCTTGGTCTATTGCCAACGGGTGCTCTGCATGCATCAGTCTAAATTAGCCGATGCCACTATTGCACTTCAATTTAATCAATGACTTATCATGTGGGTATCAAGTTGTGCTCATTGTCCCCTTGTCGCGCGATTCATTCTTATCTTGTTGCATAAAGAAGAGATGGACAGGCTGGGAAGTAATCTCCCCCGACTCATGTCAGAGGACTTGATTTAAGGTGCAAGAAGTCCAGAAGATTACATCAGCTGGGAGCTTAAGTACCTATATCGACGCTATAAAATAGGTACCCGCCTGGGCACAGCTAGCGCCGGTGTTCGGACGGACGAGCCAAGGACAGAGCAGCAAAGGTACTGTACGGTTCGGCCCGGGCCGCTCACAAATACCTAGGTATCCATCACCGTTCCGTTACGTGTGCTGCAGCCACGTGCTTCTTTGGGGCTTGACTCCACCACCTGTTACACTCCACCACGTCAATACGAGCCACGGACTGTGTGTGTGAATACAACACGGGTAACTCTGCATAGAGCGACTTTTATTTTATGACTCTACCGTCTCAGACTCCAATCGTCTGGCTGCCAGTCGCTCCGTCGAAACGGGCATTGTCGGGCAGACTCCGCCACCGAAAACAAGCTAGTTTCTTTCGTCTGTTCTGTGGCAGATAGGGGGGCGGAATGGAATCCGAGCGGTTACACCAACGCCAGTAAGGTAGGCTACATACGTGGAAGCATGGACTAACCGATTTCGATATTCTTAGAAGCGCCGCCCCCAAAGCCAAGCGAGACGCCAGCTCTTTGTGTCCATAACTTGGAATACGCCTTGTCCATGTTGCATTTTTCGATTTCTTAGCCTTCGTCGAATGACCAAATCACCAACAGAAACGTCGACCAAACCCCCTTTGTCAGTTGCCAATGCCGACGTCATGAGACCCGCCACAGAGGGAATTGCTGGCCTCGCCCCGTTGTAGGAAAAGCACCAACCAGTACTACAAAAAATGGGTGTCTCCCGCCATAGGAATGATGGGCGTCTCTCCCACTGTTCCATTTCAGAGCCCCGTCATCTCGATTGTCCTCTGACCGAATCCCCCAGTCAAACGCCATGATGAGTAAAGACGCCGTTGAGTCTCCTCCACCGCCACCGCCGCCGCCGCCATATACAACCATAGCAACTACTCCGTCCGACATACCATCTGGAGCCTAGGACCTGGCATACAACACTGCAAGTGGGGGGACATCTCTTCGTGTTCGAGCAGGCGGGCTGTTGAGATGAAGAATATTTCGGATCGGCCACCTCAAAAACGTCGGGATGACTCGAAAGGCTGGTCGAACCCGCCTTCAAGAATCTCAGGAACTCGAGTGAATTGTTAGACCATCGAATTGCGTTTACCCCAAGTCGATGCACGATTTGCTTCAAGAAGGCTGCGACTGTCTCGTGAGACAATACCGAGGCAGTTTCCGACCGGGCCAATACCAGGCAGGCATTGAGCTAGTCCCAAAAGGTCAAGCTCTTGATGGTCAGTCGAGCCGCATTTGCACAGCACACGTTATTCAGGCAAGTGCCCTCACCGACTTTGATAATGCCAGAGGTAGAAACGCGGATGCTGCGGATCCCGAGTCTTTCAGAAAGCGATTGGACATGTTCGATACTGGAAAGAAGCTATGGGCGGCGCAACCGTGTTTGTTGTGTTTGATTGGACAACCAGCCGAACCATCTCCACTCTTGAGCATGCCAAATGTCTGATAGTGGAGCCGTCCACCGAGCAGCTGGAAAGGAAAGTGGAATCAAGGCCAAAGAACCCCCCGCCCCCGGAGGCCCTTTGACAGGCAGGTAGGTACACTGAATGTGGCCGTGCTTCCTTGATCATGCCACGAGGTAGGTACCTAGGTTCGTTCTTATGAACATCCACATCCAGCACGAATTTAGCCAGTGAGAGTCAAGCTTGATGTACGGATACCCAGTACCTATGTACTGTAGGTAGATGCCTGCCTGTACATCACTAGTGTACGTGTCCCCCCTGCCCCGCGGGTCAGGCCTTGCCGCTATCATCGAGGCTTTCTTTCAATTGAACGCATTCTGCAAGTCATGGCCTTTTTTCTTTTCATTTCTCCCCACTCGCAACAACAACCAACCTCTTTGCCAAAGCGATGACTACGAAAAAACAAAACAACCCTTAACACAAACGAAATCCTGCAGAACTCCAAGTTGGAATTTCCAAGGATCCACGATGGATTGTCTCTCTCGCTTCCCCGCCGAGATACTTTGCGGTGTAGCCGATGCACTCACTATCCCTGACACCCCGACCCGCCTTGACTTACGGAACTTAGCCCGGCTGGCCCTGGTCTCGCACATGTGGCATGGCATTGCAAATCCCCTTCTCTACAAACATGCCATCCTTTGGGACTGGTACATGCTCTGCCCAGGCAGGGAGTGGATGTCCGTTCCCACCAAACCCAAACCCAATCAGCTTTGTTGCTGACGCCGCTAGGAGCTTCTCCCACACCACCCGGGCGGCCATGAGCATTGCAGACCACCGACGGCTTTTTGGACCCCTAATGCCACGGTAAGTAACCGGCTATACTACTGTCCCTCTCTTCCTCTTCAATCTCGTATGCGTGATTCTGACAATGGCAGACAACTACCCGACAACCGAGTAGGCGTGCTCATGACCGCCGCGCTATCGGGCGACCTTGCTCTTTTGTCGCGCCTCGCCGGCTACGTCCCACACGCTCTTCGACCACTAGATACCGCCCAAGCCTTGTCAGCTGCATTCTACGTCCCAGGGTCTTGCCCGATACACGACAACGACGACTGGGAAGATCGCCGGCCGTTCGCCACGCTTCTCCATGTGGCCGCCATGCGAGGGGACCAAGACATGACCCGTTGGCTCCTCGGACGCCGAGTATCAATTGAGGCTAGCGCACTGCTGGGCTGCCTCTGCCCATCGCCTTACATGAATGCCATTTGTGTGACGGGCGTGTGGTCAGGATGGGGCATTGAGCCAACGCCGCTACATCTATCGCTTGTATACGGCAACAAGTCGACTGCCAAACTTCTGATTCGCAAAGGAGCTGTATGGGATCGGCCGCATACTAGCTGCGGGGGTCTCACGGGGCTGCACATGATGGCTGCGGGTCGCATGACAGAGATGATTGAGTGGACCATCGACCAGTGCCATGGTCCGTGGGCCGGTGTAGTTGCACGTAATGGTCCGGTCCACGACTGGCCAGACGAATTTGGGTATTGGAGTCTTCACTACGCTTGTCTCTCTGAGAGGCCCAAGGAGGAGGATGAAAGCTGGGCTGCGCAGATGGTTTCTGGTCTCATCAGGCTAGGGGCACTGGTTCATACAACAGACGGCAGTCGAATAGCAAAGCGAGTGTCCGAGGAGAGGAAAAGGATTCAAGAGGGCCCAAGGCCTCGCTGGACAATCGACAACCAGGCCGCTTTTGACTGGGCACAGCGGATCCAAGACTGGGAAGAAGACGGAGTAGTTCTGGAGTCTGAGCTGGCACTGTTTGCAGCAGATTGTATGCAATGGGGTCTTGCAGAAGCAGTGGCTGCAGTGTCTAAAGAGGATACCTAGATAGATTGGAGGGGGGAGGGATAGCTTTAATCATTGGCAAGGCGGAGGGAAGTTGATAGTTATACTTGGGCATCTGACTGAACGGGGGAGACGGGAAGGGCTTCAGGGAACAAACACCAAAGAGACAAGGTGCAACAGGAACGGAAAAGTATTAAGCGCTTGGCCAGGATGTGAGTACACTTTCTCGGCAGGACAGATATTGTTAACAGGCAGAGAAACAGACATAATCTTGATGACTCGACGATTTGTTGCGTGTCTTGTTGCAGTCCGGTTATTAACCGACCTCCTCTCCTGCCTCTAAGCACACCAACGAGCGAGTACTTACGTGCTTGTGAAGAGGGTTGGTGATGGGGGGTTGCAGCCTGTTTGATGGGAAGGGACATACATGTAATATGGAAAGTGCAATGGCAGGTGTAGATGAACGTGGAAGGAGAGCAGAGGCTTCGTGCCTGCCTGTCCGCCCATACCATACCATACCATGCTACCACGACGTCGTGTCTGTCTGTCTTGCGAGTCGTTGCTCTTCTTTTTCCTCTTCTCTTCTGCAGCCATCATCACCTGTTTTTGTCGAGTTTCGTCTTGTCTGTTGTTAGTCTGTTTCTAGTTTACTTTACTTTACTTTACCTCGCCTTGCCTCACTTCACCATGGCCAACAACAACAACAACAACAACGGCAACCAGTCCGGCGCAAACCAAGGACGACTGGTATGTGATTCTGCGTCATCTGCACCGCTCCCATCACCTGGCAAAGCAAAACACCACCAATCTATCAATACAAATCAGCTTGATAGCCCCTCTGCTTTTGTATCGTGTTATATATATATATGAATAGATAGCTTATAATACTAATGTTAACAACTATATGGAACTTTATAGACTCCTATCCCTACAATGCCGCCCCCTCCAGCAATGTCGTGTCTACCTTTATGAATGATGTCTTCGCGCCAGCCGCCGCAACCCGCCCGCAGGCCGCCTCTCGTGCCATAGCCTCTCTGTATGCCTCTGTCGAAGGCCACGGCCGGCACCTGCACGCCCAGCTCCGTGAGAACCCCGACGTCGCCGCCAAGGACATCAGAGCAGAGCGCGCCAATGCGACGCTCCAGGACCGCTGGGAGCCGCACCCCTGGGTCCCCGTTGCTTATGCTCCCAGGCCCCCGATCGCCCCCCTCATTATTCGTAAAATGGCTTGGATTACCGACAAGGTACTCTCCCGCCCCGGCGCCACCGTCGACGACCTCGCTGCCCTCTGGGCCGGATCTCCGCGAGACCCAGAGAATGCCGGGCTGCTGCTGCGTACCCTGGTCACCTCCGGCGCCTCCAACCTCACCAAGACTGTGGCTGTCCAGGCCGCCAAGCTCCTCGAGGTCGAGCTCGAAGCTGCCGATGCCGAGGCTGCGAGGCTCCAGCGCCTGCGCGCGCATGCTGGCCTTGCACGAGGCAGAGGTGGAGGAGGCCGACGAAGAAGCCGAGATGCTGCGGCTTGTTCAGAATGCCGAGGAGCAGCTGCGTCAGCAGCAGGAAGAGGAAGAAGAAGAAGGGGAAGAAGAGACCGAAGGCAGCCGCCGCTACAACGAGGCTTTCATTATGCACAGTGGCAACCAGGACAACGACGACAACGACAGCTTCTTCGGCTATGATGCCGACGGCCCCAACAACGATGAGCCTGCGCGCCCCCAGACCAGCCCTCTAATTTCCCACCCCTTCCCTGGCCCCAACTCCAACGAGGACCCCTTCGGTGTCTCGCCCTGCGCCCCTGTTGCTGTCCGCCCCAGGCCCGAGTCCGACTCTGAGTCTGACGCCCCGCCCCGCCAACGCCGCCGTACCGCAACCACCGTCTCCTCCGAGTCCGAGTCCGAGCCCGAAGCTGTCCCCGACTCCAATGCGTCTTCCTCGCCTGCACCCGCGCCCGCCAGCCGCGCCCGCCGCGTCCGCCGCGCCCGTCGCCCCAGACCACCCGCCGCCGACCAACAAGAGGAGATAGAAAGAATCGCGGAGAGTATTTATAGAAGCACCATGTCCCAGCTCAGGCAGGGAACTTTTACAAGACGCATGCCGCTGGCCGACCGCCGGGATATCGCGTGGCGCGCGCGCGCCGGTGTTCTCGACGCCGCAGCCGTCCAGGACGAGGGCATTGTCGAGCCCAACAATGAGCCCCGCGCCGGCCAGACATTTGAAGACTACCTGGATTCTGAGGACGATGAGGAGATGCTGGCTTGACCATGTAGACGTTCAGGGGCTACCATGTTGACAAGATGAACTGTCTCTTGTTGTATCTGCTATCGGAGCGTTTGTGTTCCTGGTTTTGTAATATTTGGTGTGCTCTCTTTCGTTTCGTGCCTTGTTATTTGCTCTTCGGGGTCCTCTGTGGTTTCTTGTGTTGTTCTTGTTGTCGGTTTGTTTATTGTGTTTATATATTTTACAGTTCTTTGTTGTCTTTTAAAATGGGAGTTCTGCGCAGTTGTGTCTAACTCTGACTTTTCCCTGTTTCACTGTCTATCTGGTATCTGCTTCCTATGTTAAACAATAACTAATACTAACTTAACAGGTATTTAAAGGTAATACTTACTAGACATAAAGACATATTAACCTTTTATCTATTATCCCTAGGTAATAATATCTTCTAATATATTTATAGGTAGTTATTATAGATATTTAGAGTAAGACCTTAAGCTATATATACGCAACAGTATAGTATTAGTATAGTATTAGTTTAGTGTAAGTACTTACTAAAGGTACATACAACTAGCTACGCTTATTAAGTCTAAGCAAGCTTAACAGCTAAAAGTCTTATAACTATAATATTTTAAGTAGTTATAGAAGAAGAGTATAGCAGTCTATAAGGCTAAGTATACAAAAGGTTAAATTATTTATACACCTAGGTAATATAAGTATTAAATACTTACTTAATATTTATTTAATAGAATATATATATAAAGAGAGTAAAAAGTGAATTTCTTTAAAGGTATAGTAATTATAAGGCTTAATTTAAAATAATAAATTCTATAATTAATATATAGTATAGATCTAAAGATTATTTTAAGGGTTTCCTAGTAAAGTTTCTATTCTTAGTAGCTATATATTAATATACTTAAGTTAATACACCTTGTATTTATATTATATTTCTCTCTATATAAAATATAATATATATTAGTTTCTATACTAAAAATAGACTTTTTATATCTTTAATAATAAGGGAGATCTACTTCTTAAAAAGAGATTAAAAGTGTTACTAAATATAGAAAAATAGGTTTAGTCTAAACTATATTTCTATATATATTTATATATACTATATAGGCTGGTATAAATATATATATATATATATAAATATATATATATAAATATATACCTAAGTTATATTTAAAAGTCCTTAAGACTTATATTAAATTGTTTTTTATTTACTCTCTATCTCTCTCTCTCTCTATATATATATATATTTATAGATAGTAAGTTATATATAGATATCTAATTTTAATTATTTCTATTCTTATACTAACTTTTCTTTATATATAATAATAAAGTCCTCTTCTAAAAAAGACTAAATTATACTTATACTTAAAGCTATATAAGAAGACTAAAGCCTCTTTATATAGTAGATAGCCTGTATTTATAAGATTAAAAAGGCTATACTTTATAACTAAGAAGCTAGGTAATAACTATAACCTAAAGTAGATATAAACTTAATAATAATATCGAAATTAAAAAAGGAAAAGAATCTTAAATATATTATTATTATAATTAATTAAAGGTTTCTTTTATAATAAGAAAGTATTTAAGATATTACTAAGTAACTTCTTAGTATATATAATATTATATATTAGACTTTAATAAGTAAAGAAATTTATAATATATATATATATATATATTATATATAATAACTAATATATTATAGTAAGTAATATATAAATACTTATCTTAATATTATTTTAATAAGTTAATATACTAAGAAATGCGACTGTACAAAAGAGTACGCAGGTCACCTGTTTTATTATTATAATTAAATAGTTACACACTTATAAGGGCAATTAATATCTAACTTACCCCCTTAAGGGCTTATAAAGCTTATAGGCCTAGACACGTTATGTTATGTGAGGTAGAAACCCTAGATTCCTAGGTAAAGACCCTCTATTATGTGTGTTGCGACTGTGTATTAAACTTAGTTAATTAAGATTAACTAGGAGCTAGGCTTATAACTACTAAGAAATAACAGGTAGATTAGTAGGATAACTAGATAGATAGGTAAATAGATAGGTAGAAAGATAGGTGTAGTTTTATTATGCTTAGAAGGTATAGAGAGCTAGAATCCCTTAAGGGGATCTTCTCTCTATATATAATTAACTAACTTCTATATTTCTAGTAATATATATATTAACCTTTATATTATATTATACTTATTATACTATTATATAGATTTAAAACCTTATATTATTATAGCTTGTTTTAAGCTAGTTATAGCCTGTTATACTACTTATTATAGCTTGTTATAGTATAATACAGTCTGTTTAATATCTAGTTTTATTTAAGTAGATATTTCTATTTTTAGTACCCTAGAGTAAATCTAGTTACTATTTATATATATCTACTTTTTATACTTCTTAGAGATAGAGTACTAGAGAGTAAATCTCTATAGGTCTATATCTAGAAGTAAAGGTTATATTAGATATCTCTTATATATATATATATATATATATAGTAGTGTTACTTTAAGGTTATAAATAAGGTTAAATTTAAGGTTAAATTTAAGGTTATAATTATATAAGCTTTTATATCTAAGTATATTTACCTTATAATAAAGTATTATATCTTACTAGGCTTTAAGATTATAAGTAAGTAACTTATAGTAGACTTTAGTAATAACTAAACACTAATTAGTACTATTACTTACTTTTATATTATTATAGTAACTTATATAATCTATATACTTATAATACTTTATTAGATTATATTATAAATCCCTTTTTATATCTCTCTTTTAGTTAATTTTATTTTTTATTAAATCTATTACTATTTTTTTTAAATTAATATATAATAGTTAGCTACTATAATCTAGTTACTTACTATAGTTAGGTTACCTACTTTTTAACTTTATAGTAAATTATAGCATACTAAATACTAATATAACTAAACTAGTAAAGTATATAAGATCTATACTAAAGAAAATCTCTTAAGTCTTATAGCTAAGGTTACTTAGTTATTAGCTAAATTTAGACTATAGTAAGGTTAGCTATTTCTTATCTACTTTACTAAAGTTATTACTATAGTAGATATTATTAACCTTTTATATAGTATAACGCTTTTTACTAAACTTTATTATTATTTATAACTTTAAAAGCTAGTATTACTTAGTAAGTTACTTTTAAAAGTAATCCTTTATATCCTTTAAGATTTACTTTTTTTACCTTAACTTAATTATTATACTTACTATTAACTAACTTATTAATTACTATACTATTTAAAAAGGCTAGACTTATAGTATAAATTTAATACTATTAAATTAGAGGTTAAAAGTAAAGTATATTATTATATTAGTTAGTAGTAAAGTAGCTACTATAATAGCTACTTACTATTACTATAGTAATAGTAATAAAGTTTATAATAAGGTATTAAATAGATTTAGTATAAATAGTACTTATTATATAAGCTTTTTATTATTATAAGTAGGCTTATTACTATTATTATTAATACTATTACTAACTTCCTTTTTATTATTATTAATAGTTACTTAGGTTACTAGTAACTTTTATAGTATTTTAATAGTTATTATTAACTTTTTTACTACTACTATAACTACTACTATTATAACTACTACTACTATAACTACTACTAACTTCTTTACTACTACTATAGCTACTACTAATTCTTTTAGTATCTTAATAATTATAATTAATTTTATTAACTTTACTACTAGTACTAGTGCTATTACTATAAGGCGCTTAATTACTATATATAATAATCCTTTATAAGTAGCCTTATAGGCTTAAGTACTATTAGCTAGTAGCACTAGTAATACTATTAAATTATAGGGATTATAATAGTTAATTAATTAATTCTATTCTATGTTCTTTTAGTAAATTACTATAGAAATAGGGAAAACCCCCTATTTCTTAGTTAGGAAATCCCTAGCTAATCCTAGTAATATTATTAGTAGACTTACTACTAGAAGTAGGGCTAATTCACTACCTATTCCCTAATAATTCGCTATAAGGTAACTATATATTTACTAGCTAATTTATATATAATTCCGCTATATTTAACACACCCCCTTAGCGCTAGTAACGCAGTTAATTACTATAGAGCCTACGCTAAATATCCTCTATATATAGCCTATTTGTTTATTAATTATCCTTTAATATCCTATACGTTTTCCTCCTCTATCTAGTAGTAAAGCTTTACTTTGTTATTAGCTAATTTTTACTATTAATTTACTTTAAGGCACGCGTGTTAGTTACTTATATTTAATTAAGCTATAAATATAGTAAATTATAGCGCACTAAGCGCCTTTATTAATCTATTAGCTATTAATCTAGTAGACTTCTTATATTTAATAGTAATTTAATTTACTACTACTTCTTATTATAGCTAGTAGTTATAAATATCTATATACTATAACCTTATTTATAGTTAGATAAGCTCTTTAGTAATAAGCCTAATAGTCTAGGTATTATTATAGCTAACGTAAATAGTTAGTAGCTATTTAGTAGCTGCCTGCTTATTAAGTAATAATTTAGTTCCTATTTATATTAATAGTTAAATACCTAGTATAGTAATTAATTTACTAGTAAAAAGCGCCTTTTTTCTAGTAAATAATAAGGCTAGTAATTTAGCCTTAGTAGTTAATATTATTACTATATCTTATTTATTAGCTTACTAGGAGATAAGCCCTCTAAATAGCTTTAGCGTATACGCTTATAAGCTATAATAGTTTAGTAAGTTATTAGTAAATAAGGCGTCTAAAGTAACCTCTAACGTATTATCTTTACTACCTAGCGTTACTTTATATTTAAGGTAAAGGTGCTATATATAGTAGAGATATCTAAGTATATAATTTACTACCTTTTAGTAATCTAGATTTAGATTATAGTTAAAGTAAGTAAGCTAGCTAGCTATAAAAGTAATATCTAGCTAAGTTATTACTACTATATATAGGATTATTTTTACCTTTTTTTAATATTAGTTAACCTCTTATAATAAGGCTATATATTTACTAGGTAGTAGCTTAG